CTAAACCCCTAAACCCTTAGACCCCAAACCCCTAAGCCCCAGAAGTCCCCCGGGCCCAGGGCGCCATTTGATGTCGGATCTCTCGGCCCTGACGCGCGCGAAGGAGGTCAGCAGGCCCCAGTGGGACACCGAGGCTGCCAACCTCGGGTTTAGGGTTTAGGGTTTTGGGCTTAAGGTTTGGGGTTTAGGGGTTTAGGGGTTTAGGGTTTAGGGGTTTAGGTTTAGGGTTTAAGGTTTAGGGTTTGGGGGGAGGGGGCTTCGAAAGGTTTACGCTCTCACAACTCGGACAAGCCAGGTTTCGAAGGTTTAGGGTTTAGGGTTTCAGTCCGGTTTCAAGAAGGGTTTAGCGAGGGTTTCGGGTTTAGGGGTTCGGGGTTTAGGGTTTAAGGTTGAGGGTTCGGGGTGTCCCTCTCGCATGGCTGGGGCTGGGGGTTTAGGGTTGAGAGTTTGGGGTTGAGGGTTTGGGTTTTCGGGATCTGGGGGTGTTGAAGTTGGGGGGTTATCCTCCTCTTACTGATTACGGAAACGGTGCAGGATCTAGAGAAGGCCCAGCTCGACCCTGAACGTGCTTTCTATCGGCCCAGTAGCTCATAGCAGCCAGATCCCGTCTTCCACCTCTGCAGTGCGAGGTCGCTGTCCAGAAACTGAGTGACGGCACTCTGGCACTTCTCAAGGTCTTCCTGTCGGGAGATCTTTGGCCTTCGGAGTTAGGGCTATGTGCGTTTAAGGCTTCAGAAAGTTCCAGAAGGGTTCGGGATTCTAGAACAGAGGTGTCCTAATGAACCCAGTTGCCCGTCACCTGCACGGGACTCCGGATCCCTGAAACCCACCGTAAACCCGACACACTCCTTTCTTGAATCCTAGTCCGTCCTCATCCCTAAACCCTAAACCCTAAACCCGAAACCCTAAACCCTAAACCCTTAAACCTCAACCCTAAACCCCCCTGCCCATACCGGACCCTCAACCCTGACGCAGGATGTCCTCGCTGCCCGAGGCACCACCGATCAGATTTCCTGGGCTCTTGTTAAGGGATTTACATTAAGTTACCATAATAAGGAAACCATATTATTTACTATAGATCCCTATTATGGTAACTTAAACAATAAGGAAACCATATTTAATATAGATCCTTATTTTGGTAACTTAAACAATAAGGAAACCATATTATTTACTATAGATCCCTATCATGGTAACTTAAACAATAAGGAAACCATATTTTTTTACTATAGATCCCTATTATGGTAACTTAAATTAAATCCTTTAACAAGAGCCCAGTCTCGGGTGAAGGCGGCCCCTTTGGTCGCCAGGGGAAAGTCGGCCGCCGACTCAACGCAGGGGTTGGAGTCAAAGCCTGCCGCCAGAGGGTGGTAGGGTTCTGAGAGTTTAGGGTTTGGGCTTTAGGGCTTAGGCTTTAACGTGAAGGGTTCAGAGTTCAGGGTTTAGGGTTTAGAGTTTCCACTATGGGGCAGAGGTGGTGCAAGGCATGTAAATCTGTGTGGTCAGTCACTGGCTCGCTTCCCTTTCTTCTCTTCTCTTCCCTAGTGTCCTCAAGTTCTCGCTCGCTCGCGCGCTCTCTCTCTCTCTCTCTCTCTCTCTCTCTTTCGGCCCTGCGATCCTCACTCAGAAGGTCTACATTGACATAGCAACCTAGTTAGCGACGGCAGCCAACTGCATGCAGCATGCAGCAACGGAGGACGCGCTTTCCTTCACCTCAAAGCCGTTTGCAACCGCAAAGCTCAAAACATCTCTGAGAACCTGCAGAGACCCTGGGTGGCCTTGCTGAATCAAGTGGTTCTCAAACTGCAACCGCATCCTGGGAAGGCTTCGGGCTTCCTCACACCCGGAAGGCTTGGGGTTTAGGGTTTAGGGTGTAGGTTGGGTGTAAAGGCGTAGAGTTTAGGAAGTTTAGGGTTTAGGGTCGTCGACAACCAGGTCTGCAGAATGTCTGCATCACACCACGCAGAAGAAGACGGATTCCAGGCAAACTCAGACCCGAAACCCGGAGCTTAGGCCCCACACCCCCAGCAGCCCCGAATCGCGAAACCCCAACTGTAGATCCTCGCAATGCCCAGACCACCCTACATCAGGGTCGGAATTATGGGTCCCTACATAAGTGTAGTATATTTATAACATACCGCCCCAAAAAGCCTATTCTAATTAGTAAGACTCCTTTTTTCCAAGTCCAATCGCCGAGACTCTCATTGACACCGCCGACCTCGTGGGCGCAGCCACCCTCGATGCAGGCGGGTGGATTTGTTCCAACGGCCAGGAAGGAAAACCTGGGATGCTACAAGGGACACTAGAAGGGCCAATAGAAAGAAGAAGAAGAAGCATCAATCATAATGACCGTAGTGGCAAGCATAGTTCTGATGATAATAAGACGGCACCAATGATTACAACATCTATGATAATGAGGGTAGTATTTGCACGAACAGTACGTATAGTAGCAAAAATTTAGCACTCGCGTTAGAGCAGAGTCAGACGCGGTTTGGGACTAACAAAAGTAGCAATAATGAAGCACGATTGGTAACAATGGCATTGAAACAATAACAATAATAACAACAATAGTAACCATTATAACACTGGTAACAAACATCATCATGATGGCAATAAGGATTCTACTGAGGGCACTATTGGGGTTATTATCATTGGGCTATCAGAAGGGTACTAGAAGGCTTCTACGAGGTGGATCTCCGGCTTCGAGCTTTGTAGGGTTTAGTTTAGGGTTTAGCATTTTTAGCATCGGGTTCAGTAACTGGGAAAAGAGTTTAGTACTGGGTTTTTTAGCACAGGATTTATTCTAGGGTCTCGCAGAGGGGTTCACTCTAAACCCTAAACCCTAAGAAGGGCTTCGTAACGGTTATAGTGTTCTTGGTTTCTGGGACTCCTTTCTCGGCTGCTGGGTCGACAGTCAAAGGCTGCAAAGACCACCATGTAAACCCCCTTGTCAGTACCCGTCTTCATGCCCTTACAGTCTGGCTTTGGGGGGCTTAGGAGCTTTCGAAGCTTAGTTTCACCTCCGGACAGGTGAGGCTTCTGTTACATAGAGGCCTTCACAGTTGGAACAGGATTTTGGGGAATAGTCTATGGCATCGTGTAGTACACTTCTATTGAGAAACCCTCAGGAACAATGCTGGTAATCGTTCTGGCCCGTATATTTAGCTGCGAACTCAATGCAAGAGGCAGGGCCACCGGCTGACCCCCAGGGAAGTGCGCCACCTGGAGGTTTCCGAGAATAGGAGACCCCTAATATAGCACCCTACATAGTAGGATCCTTGTTATAAGGACTCCAATAGAAGGTACCCCCCCAATTTTCGGGACGTGCGCCACCTTGGCCAAGGAAGGACCGGTTCGCCGGCTCCCAGGCAGACTCTCCTTGATGTCCTCCCAGGGTCATACATAACAACAACAGTAATGATAACAGTAACACTCACAACGATCAGGATAATGATAATGGTACGAAGAATAAGAATAAGAAGAACAAGAATAAGAATGATAATAAGGCGGGTGACAATAATCATAATACTACTAATGCAAAAATTGTTATTATACTAATAATAATGATAATGAGACTGATAGCACTAACAATAATAACAGTAATTGTATTAACAATAGTACCAAGAGTGATCGTTATACTAAACATCATAATAACATTCATGTTGACAAGTGCGTGGGGGTTACGCGGATAAACGCTCCACTCAGGCCCCTGCCCTTAACCCCTAAGGGCCAGTCCCCCAAGGAAGTGACATCGCCCGGCAGCTCGTCGCGCGCTTCGAAGTCTTCGTCGACCTTCGCCTGTTTCAGGGTTTGGGAACGGAAAACGACACCTCCCCAAAGCCGTTTTAGGGTTTAGGGGTCTAGGGTCTAGGGTTTAGGCTGCAAACTCCGAGAAGATCCACCGGTGTAACGACGCAAGAAACCTCGCTAGCATCGTCACAGCTTCGGGCTCAAGCCACAACAAGACCAACTCTGGCTGGTCGACAAAACCGCCTGTGTGGAGACGAGCTCTACAGAAGTACGACGCCAACAGGTTACAAGTAAAATGCACAAATCGCAGACACTGGCAGTGCTCAGCCCACATGCGTGCAAGAAAGTCCGGGACCTGTCAGGCGCTGCGTACTCCTAGTCCCCAGCAGCAGCCGCAGCAGTGGCTATAACAAAAAACAATGATAGTGATACTGAGAACAGTACGAATATACCTTAATATTACTAGTCATACTGGTATGAACCATCAATAAACTACTGTCAGAACGACAAGAAGGTGAACCCCCAAAAGTCCGCACAGACACCGTCGCATACATCACAGCGATGACAGCAAAAGGGTCTTGTCAACATGGTCAACACAACCACAGCACCGTGACTTGAGACGCTAGACCCTGAAGCCCTAAACCCTAAACCCTGTTGCAGACTTCCCGGATGCCTAGCAAGAGCGTCTGCAACAAAGCCGACCTCGTCGTCCAGGCCGGCGATACAGTTCCGCAGCTGCTCGGCGTGGCTGGCCCAGGGACTTGTGATGCCTGCTACAAGAGATCTATACTGGTTCCAAGTATAAGGGCCGTAACAGCGAAAAAATGTGACTTTGGGATATATCATGGCATCGTAGTTATCACGGAACTCCAAGGGAGATTCTGAAGTGTTCCAGGTGCACATCGGCGGCTTTATCACGACATAGTAGCTGCTCCAGTATAATATATGTCTATCTATACCTACATGTATTATAGAGAGAGAGAGAGAGAGAGAAGCTTGAGGGCTCCGTAGTTTCGGTAACTCGCTTCTGGTCTCGCCAGAGTCTTCAGCCTACTTGGTAGCCCCGTGAAGGTCTGCGGGTCAGGAGTACTCCAAGCTTGTTGCTTCAAGAACTGCAAAAGACTAACAATAGCAACCATAATCAGAATCATAATAAGAGTAATTCTACCAATAGAAATAATCATAGTAGTATAATAAAAATAATACTAATAATACTAATAATAATAATAAAATAACAATAATAATTAATAGTCATAGTAGTAACAATGTGGTGCATCGTGAACTTCCGCAGTGTTGAGGCTCAGGCTGGGTGTAGGGCTGAGGGCTTCGGCTGTGGAGTTTGGAGCTGTTTTTTCGGGTTTGGAGTTTGAGCAACGAGCCCCGCAATAGACTCTGCACCCAAAGCCCGAAGCCCCTTAATCTTGCACGGTTAAGGTTTAGGGTTTAGGGTCTAGGGTTTAGGGTTTAGGGTTTTGGGCATACACCTCTTCTTCCGAAACCCAGCCGGGACCTTCGAAGAATCTCTCGGCCAGGCTGCCAATCTGCAAAGAAGCTCCGCCGGCGCTCACGAAGCCCATGGGAGCTTTCTTCATCTTCTGGTACTTCTGGGAAGCCTGGAGCGGTTGAGGGTTTAGGGCCTTAGGGCCTTAGGGTTTAGGGAACGCCAACCTTCCTTCGTCAGTTCTGACGATTCTCGGTTTAGGGTGTCGCGGCAGTTTCGCGAGAACATGTCATGATATTAAAGGTAAGCTCGTGCGAACTTGAACTGTGTCGCCCAGATTCCATAAGCGGCATTCATGTTGCAAGAGAAGCGCGAAACACGACTTGGTGCGAAGGTCCTACTCCATTCCAGATGCATCAAGCCTCTGCGCAAGTGCGAGCCCTGAACCCTGAGCGCTCCTCGTTGAAGGACATGAGGTAGGCCCCCATCTCATATACGGCTTCCAGCGAGCCGGGGAGTGTGCGGCAGCCCTCCGTCTCGTTGTGCCTCGGCGTCCGCAAAAAATGGCGAAGCTCTCCCCTCCTGCACTTCTCAAGTTTTTAGTCAGAAACATGAGAATCCGGAAAAAAGTAGCAGCATTAAGGGCACTGAAATTCAGCAGCCCGGAGCCCGAACTCTGAGAAATGACGGGAAGTCCGCGGTTTTTAGGGCTTACACTCTCACAACTCGGACTAGACAGGCGAGGTCTGGGCTGTAGGTTTATAGGCTTTTTCCGATGCAGGGTTTAAGGTTTAGGGTTCAAGGCTTCAGGGTTTTTTTTGACACCTTTTTCGAACTGCATGGGTTAGTAGCTTCAGGGCTTAGGGCCTAAACCCTAAACCCTAAACCCTAAAACCCTAAGGTTTAGGGCAAAAAGGGCTGCTTCAGTTGGGGCTCTGCTGGCTGCACTTGTAGAGAAGCCCCTGTAGGCCGCCCCTGTTCACCGGCACATCCCCAAGGCGCCGCACCTCCTGAGCTCTGCAGGGTTTAGGGTTTAGGGTTTATGCTCTTCCTACTGGCAGGGGCCTTGAGTTCTAGGGGCTAAGGGACCTTAGGAATGAGGGTTGGGCCACTCCAAGGCACACGATAGTGGAACTATTTGGGGCGCATCGTTGAATTACGGTAGTACCCCCACTATTCCAACCCCTATGCTTCTGGCCCTAGCACCAAAGAGGGGGTATAAAAAACAACAGAGCACCCAGTAGCGTCTCCCTAAAATACTACAGTACAAGCTTGGAAAACACCCAGCTCTGGAATGTAGGAAGCCGATCAAAGAAACCTCGGCCCTGTCATCCCCAAAAACAGTAGGAATCATATGGAGAACCCCAGTCGAGACCCAGGGTTTCTGAATCTAGGGCTTGAGGTGCCGAGTTTAGGGTTTTCGGGTTTCGGGTTAGGTTCCTATATTACCCAGAAGGCCGGATTCTTCAACCTGCAACATGCCCCAGCCACACAAGTAGGCCGCAAGCTGATGCATCTTGCATTGGCAGGGCTTTCTGTCCCTCCCATCCTAGAAGCTGTCGGCCTTGCTGGTCTTGCTGCATTGCTTCGACTTCCTAACGGCGGGAGAAACCCCTTCCGGAGTCGATCGACAGGTGCCTCTTGCCCAAAAAGCCAGAAACCGCTGAAGCATCGAGCCCCCCTGAAAGGAGCAAGCAGAGGAATCCCGGATGTCAAGCCGCAGCAAAGAGCCTCTCTGCGTTCTCCACTTCCAGACGATGCCCGGCAGTCGACAGGATCTCCCAGGCGTTCCTGTTCGCGCTGGGCTCAGGGCCAAGCGAGATAGGATTCAGGGTTTAGGGTTGGCGCCTGTGGGCGTTCGGCGCTGCGTGCCGGGTTGAGGGCATTTCCTATCTAGAAGACGTGCGCCAACGAAGGGGTCCGACGTGGTCCCACCTGGGCTGCACTTACCGAATCCCAAGGACCCCAAGCGCCCAGCAAAACGGCCTCGCCTAACCCCCCGCTTTCTTTGGGGCCACATGGGAGTGTGATCCTGCAGGTACCAAAAAACGGGAGACGAAATCGAAGCAGTCGGAGCCTTCCACGTCTCAGCTGGGATCAGACCCCGGAGCCCTGAGCCCCCCCAAACCCAAGTCCGTGGCACAGCAGGAGGCACGGGGAAGAGTGAGCAGCAGCTCAGGGTCGAATGTTGCTTGCTGCCAAAACAACTAGCCTCTCTGGCTTTATGCAAACGAGATCTGACTTGATCCACACAAGGAAGCATTTACGAACATCACCGCTTGGGATTCAATCAGAGATGGCAACAACCATAGCTGACCTCGCAATCCTTAGGATGATCAAGATCAGGAGGGTAGTCGTGCGATTTCTTGAATACTACAACGTAACTATCAAAGCCACAAGCCACCATTCTCATCCAATTTTCAAAACCCCTTCCAAAGCCCTCTTCTAAAGTGAAGCCGAATAAACACCATACGACCACAACCACACAACCCCATTTTTACACTGAACCCTAAAGCCGGTAAAGCACCAGGGCCCACGCTTCGCCACCCAACGACGGCCGGGTTTCTCCAGTTCCTGCGCGAGCCTGGGAGCTGCGCTGAAGGGCTTCGGGCTGTTGGGGTTTAGGGTTTAGGGGCTTAGGGATTTGAGCTTTGGGGCTTAAGGTGTAGGGCCCAGGTTTGGGGGGTTCAGGGTTCTTTTGGGGGTTCAGGGCTCTTCTGGGGAGAGGCCCTTTCCCATCAGCTGAGTAAGCACCTACCATTCCTGAGTAGGATGAGCCAAGCAGTCAGGACTCAGAGCACCAACCGCAACGGGGTGTGTGTGTGTGTGTCTATATATATACATATATCCAAGCAGTTACCACCTTCGACCGGCCAACACATGGACAAGAACTCTGGAAATGCTGAGGCTGCGCTGAACCTAAACCCCTCTCTCTCTCTCACAGGTGCTCGAAGCTAAACCCCTAAACCCCTAAACCCCTACACCCTAAACCCTAAACCCCTAAAGCCCTAAACCCCTAAACTCCTAAACCCTACACCCTACACCCTATCCCATCTCCCCCAGAACATGAAGAACGAAAAACAACCACGCCCTGAGAGTCGCAACCCAGGGGCTTAGGGTTTAAACCTCGACTTTAGGGTTTAGGGCTTTAGGGCTTTAGGGCTTTAGGGGTTTAGGGGTTTGGGGGTTTGGGGTTTAGGAGTCTTCCCAAGTAGCTTGTTCAGCTCTGGTCCCAGCTTTGTGGCGTTCGACTTCGCGGTGAGGCTGAGCTTCACAGAAACGGCCTGATCTCAGGGGCCTCAAAAGGGTGGGATGAAGGTCACTACGGTTGATGATAAATCCGGCATCCCCCAATAAGAAGGAATATACCAGAGTTCCCATAGTTTAGGGTCCTGGAGATAAATGGGAAGGATTTATATCATCAACAGTAGGACTGCGGATCCCCTTGTAGAAGGACCCAAACCAGTCTTTGATCTCATCAAGGTCTAGAGTAGCGGTTTCCGGTAGATGGGTGGATAGATAGATGGATAGATGCATANNGATAGATAGATAAATAAATAGATAGGGACGGTAAGGGACAGCATGATTCCCCTGTCAATCAGTTCTGCAGGGATTGTGTGCGATCCACTTGGGGCGTATGACGAGCCCGAAATGGGGGGGGGCTCGATTAGCTCTGCGGATCCGGGAAGCTGAAATCCGCGCTCCTTTAAGGGTTGAGCTTTAGGGATCTATACGGGTGCTACAAGGGTTTAGGGTGTATTGGGATCTGCTGGAAAACCGTCTTCTGATGCGATCATCCGGTCTCAAACACATGGCCTGCGATCGAAAATCGCCGCCGCCTCCCAGGTGAACTTTGTGGACCTCCGTAGCTGGGCGCTTTTTAAGTGCCCGCGATTTCTTCTGCAGCTGGAGTTTGGGCTTGGGATGTGCAGGCCCAATACTGAGGCCCGGGTCAACCTCAAGAAGCCTCCGTGAGGCCGAGGATGTAGGTTAACTTCAAAGACGACGCCACGAAGCAAAGGCCACGGAACTCCATAAAACGGCATGTAATACAAAACAACTGAAGGGCAAAAAAGAACAAACAGAAAATCGAGCAGTCAACTAAATAATAACAACAGTAGTATCATCTCTGAAACGACGCCTAAGCACTCATCATGGACAGGCATGGAAAAATTAGCGCCATAAAAGGATGTACAAAGAAAGTGCCCCTGTAGTGTCCCGGTATGATTGTATAGTAGAATCGTACTAGCATCAGCATCATCTGTCATCTACCCCGCACCCTTAATCCATCATACTACTAGTACTACCACTACCACTA